CTGGAAAAAAAAAAAATCTGAACATTCCTTCGACTAAAATTGAAAAATACTGTACATAATGTAGACCGCTCAAAGTTGGGAGGATGTGACAGCGCGTGTCTTTTGTGTAAGCGGAAGTAGTTCGGATTGAAGAGAGACCAGCGGGAGTCAGTGCGATCACTCCCTGTGTTCGCCAAATGAACGGAGCACATTTCTCGGGCGCGTGCAAATGTGTGGTGGTAACGCTGCCGAGAAACTGTAAGATCCGTACCAAATGCTCAGCGTTGTCCATAGACTCCACGCCGCTCAGCCTCGCCGTCCGCCTCCACACGCTGCCTTCTTGACACGCTCCCAACTTGGGCTGGTCAAACGGCTCTCTCCAACGAAAATCATTGCTCTCAGCCACGCTTTTGGGCAGAAAAAACGTTTCGGAGCTCAGGGCTTTTGCGGTCCTTGGCCCTATGCATTTGGAATGCCCTGCCTGAAGAACGGCGCCTGACCGCCCATATTCTCTCATTTAGAAAGAAACTAAAAACCTATATATGTCCTAGGATATGTGAGGTTAACTGGATATGAGTCTTTTTTATACGCATTTTACTGTACGGTGCTCTGAAGCCCTTTGTTGGGTCTGCTGCGCCTTATAAAATTTATATAAATAAATAAATGTTATCTTCTTGGTTCTTTCGGGAAAGTCACATAGAATGAAAATAATAAAATAATAAAAATAAAACATAATAAAATAATTATCTTCTCGACAGACCTGTTCTCCACCTGAGGACGGCTGCTTGCGTTGTGGCCGAAACGTCGTGATAATTACTTTATTATGTTTTATTTTTTATTATTTTATTATTTCCATTCTACGTGACTTTACCGAAAGAACCAAGAAGATGAATCCCTGCAGTCACGAAAGCTTTAAATCGAAAAATAAATGTAAGTTGCGCAAAAAAATCACTCGGCAAAAAATATTTCAATTGGACCGCACACATCACGATCACAGAGTGATCGAGATTTTAGGGTCGTCACTGATCCAACACTCGAGTTCCTGTCCCCTCATCTCTCTCAACCGTGCAGGACCTCCTCGCTCCACTCTCGCATCTCTTGCATTTGCCACTTACAAGCCCCATCTGCTGTCGAGACACTTGATCCAGGCCTTCGTATGCAGCAAAAATACTCAGGACTTAACTAACCATGGCATATTCTTGGTTCTTTCGGTAAAGTCACATAGAAGGGAAGTAATAAATTAATTAAAATAAAACATCATAAAATAATTCTCACGACGTTTCGGCCACAACGCAAGCAGCCGTCCTCATGTGTCTCCCCGACAGACCTGGTTTTCACCTGAGGACGGCTGCTTGCGTTGTGGCCGAAACGTCGTGAGAATTATTTTATTATGTTTTATTTTTATTATTTTATTACTTCCCTTCTACGTGACTTTACCGAAAGAACCAAGAAGATGAATCCCTGCAGTCACGAAAGCTTTAAATCGAAATTTAACCATGGCATACTTTCTGGAGCTCGGCCTCGGACAGCTCCAGCTGACATGAAGCACCACAGATATTCATTATAACAATCATTTATGGCTTAGAATAAATCACCTCAGAGTGTCTAATAGAGAGCATTCAATAACTCGATATTAGAGGAGGCTCGGCAAAGCAGAATGCGCGTGTATATGTCCACTTGCGTTATTTGTACTCGGAGAGTGACTGTGTAAACCTATTACCGTACATTATCAACAGACCCAAGCAGAGGGATTGCTACGCGTCTTATTTGATGTGGCAGCACAATACATATTTTATAAAACACGGACATTCCCATGAGCGTGTGCGTATGGAGCTGTCATCTGAAATCCCCCAACATCTTGAATTCATTTGTGGCAACAACATTTCGCACGGCGCTATACGTACAAGGAATGTTCATAATGGATGCAGCGCGTCCGTGTTTACCGCGAGGCTGGCACACGGTGTTTCGAAGGTTACCTTATAAAAAGGTAATCGTTCGCTGATTGCGATAGGATTTCTAAGTCATCATTATGGTCATCAGCCATGGTCAATCCACTGCTTGATGAAGCCACCCCAATCCGCCACTACCTCTTACGATCCAGGGAAATAAACCGCCTAACACCTGCGCACCGACCTTATTTCATTGCCCCATTTCCTCCGTGGACGTGATGTCATTTATTTTTCAAGCAATGCGCTCTGATTAAAAATGAACGTAACCCTGTATCAGATTTCACTGTAACATTGGCAATAGCTGCATTAAGCTACATGGGTGTTTTCTGTTGTGATCCTGTATGATGCTGCTGCTGCTCCCACACTCACCCAAGACGCTGACACCACCACTTCTTCATGATGATTGCGGTTCAAATCATGTTTTTTTTTTTAAAGAAGTCTTTCTAAAAAAAACATTCGTAAAACATAAATCCACCAAGGTACGCTAAGTAACCCTACATTTGATTACACACCTAACAAGGATTACTCAGTCAGGATTACTCAAAACTGGTCATGTACTGGGCATCTCTAATAGAGGGTTTTTCTTTGGGTATGATCACATACGTATACATGTGTCATTCAACCCGCCAACACCCGATAGAAGCCAATGAGTAAAGTTGTGTCACGTAAACAAAACATGCCAATTTATTACAAGTTCAGCACACCACCTGTGCGTTGGGAGAGTAAACCCACTACGACATTTACATTTCGAGCACGGTGACGTTCCGCCGAGTAATCACAACAACCAGCCTCGTCAGGCGACAGCCAGAGAGTCGTGATCATATGTGGACAAGGGAGCTTCGTAAGCTCATCGGATTCCTCGAGTCTAAATAAACATTCCGATTCCGACGAGGCGGGGAAAAGCAGTAGCCCATGGACAGCTGTCGGCGTCCCTGCAGCTATGATGGCTCAGAAAATCGCCGTCCACCCGCGGGTTGTGTAAGGATAAGGCCAGCCGGCCAATATTTCATTCCGTCTCTCCCTCCATCCATCCAGTTCAATTCCCTCGGTAACTTTATTCTTCTTCTTTCAGAACACGACGATAGCCCACCGATTACACTGGTCAACAAAAAATAAATAAAAAATTCTGGCCTGGCATTTTGCAGCTGTTTTAGACTAATTTCAGGGTGCTAATTCCAAATCTGATCTCAGATTTGCTCTATCACATCTCATTTGTATGCTATCAGCATACCCCATTTTCATTGATTTTACCCAAAATTAACTCTGTCACTTATGATTGCAAGTTGTTGCGAGTCAGTGACTGCTTTAGTGTTAAAATATGGTGCTGTATTTTTAGGATAGTGTGTTTATAATATCATTTTATGTAGATATCCACATTTATTTAATATTTTTCTTCTACAGTTTTTATTGAAAATGCAATATTTGATATCTCAAAATTAACTCTGTCACTTATGATTGCAAGTTGTTGCGAGTCAGTGACTGCTTTAGTGTTAAAATATGGTGCTGTATTTTTAGGATAGTGTGTTTATAATATCATTTTATGTAGATATCCACATTTATTTAATATTTTTCTTCTACAGTTTTTATTGAAAATGCAATATTTGATATCTCAAAATTAACTCTGTCACTTATGATTGCAAGTTGTTGCGAGTCAGTGACTGCTTTAGTGTTAAAATATGGTGCTGTATTTTTAGGATAGTGTGTTTATAATATCATTTTATGTAGATATCCACATTTATTTAATATTTTTCTTCTACAGTTTTTATTGAAAATGCAATATTTGATATCTCAAAAACCTGATGTGATAGACAAAAACTGATGCAGATTAGGAATCAGCACCCCTAAATTACCTTAAAACCGTTGAAATACCTTATGCCAGAAAAAGTGTGTTGACCAGTGTTATCATTAATCCATCGCCCTATTTTTTGCAAAGTGCACGTAAGATATAGCAAACGAAAAAAAATGTTATGAAATACAGTTGTTGAAACGATATACTACCGTGGACAGCGGGCTATGAAATAGTGCGATCTTAGTTTTGACGGCCACCTCGCAAATGTGTGCTTGAACCTCCGCTCGTGTGAAGATGTCCCCGTTCAGTGGATTGAGAGGCGCTCCAAGGGTGCCCGTTCGTCGTTGAATCGTAGCTGCGTTATCATAACGCTGTTATGTTACAGTCCACAATATGCAACATTGCAAATTGCAAGTGACGGTACTACTGTGTTTGTACGATATTTGAACATTAATTAGTAATCCCCTCCCGCACCACTACCACAGGAAGAATCTCGTTGAAATGCTTTTATTTGTTAGTTTTTTTGCCTCGTTTGTATTAGTTTTCTTTGGCCCTTGAATGCGAGCACGCGCCAAATATATATATTTTTTACGATTTTGGTCAGGGCAAGGGATATAAATTACGTTGTCATCGAAGCCTCAATTGAGCAGGTGAAATCCCGTAGAGAATCTACGCAAAACGCAACGTAATCTACGGACAGGGTAAGGATAGCCACTTGCTGGAAGGCAACGGTGGTTGTCCCTCGCGATATTAGACTGACGTAGCGGCGCGCCACACAAATGTGGAATATATAATCAACTTGCTCAGGAACACGTCGAATGTGATCGTCTCAAAGCCCCAGACGCTTTGAGACGTTATGTACAAATGCACATCATGTCAATCCACTGCTGGATGAAGGCTCCCCACGCCGTGTTCGTCATGGGCAGGTGTTTGACCATACTTCACCGCACAAAGTGTCTCCCTGCTCAAACGCCCATTGTCAGTGACTGGCCAGAGTGCGCCGGTGAAAACTCCACATTCCAGTGGCGTGATCCGTAAAGACGACCACCCGTGAACTCCCCGATACTGATTTTATCGACATCATATTGATGACAATAGGTCGCCGCTATTTGAACTCGCAGCCCTTTTTCCCCCCCGGGCTGAGCCAAGCGCTGCTGCTCGAACGACATCGCCACCCGTCCGGGGTTTAAACACAATCGCTCTCCCAACTTCCCCCCCCCCCCCCCCCGCCGCTCAAACTAAGCGCGACGCCACTTCCAGGTATCCAACCTGGACGCGCTCACCCGTGGTGGTGGTGATGACGAGCAGCGGCTGCGTGTGCACGTGCCTCCACGCGGGCCGCGGCCTCAGACGCAGCGTGAGACGGACACGGGGGTCCATGCCCCGCACGGCCTCCATGAGCTGGGCGGTCACGTCCAGGGGCCCCGTTCCTGCTGTAGCTCCCGGTGCCCCTTCGGCCCCCCCTGCGGCTCCTCGTCCGGCCGCAGAAGTCGCGTTCCCCGCCGCGCACCTCTTCAGCGCGTCGCTCGGCACCGTCAGAGTGACCACCCTGCCGATGCGGCCGCGGAACCATATCGGGGGAGGCAGCGGGTACCCGCGCAGCACCGTGCGCTCGGACACCGCTGGGAGCGTCCCCGATGAGGATGAGGCTGATGACGAGCCGGTCCGTGCGGCAGACCCCGCCGCTGCAGCCGCCGCGTCGCCCGGCGCGGGAGCCGGCGGGCTGCAGGGCTCCTGCAGCAGCAGCTCGGCACGGGCCGTGTCACCCGGCGCGTCGCCGCTGCCCGCCAGCCTGCGCACCAGCCCCGCGGGCGGGGAGAACACGTAGCCGCTCTCCCAGCCCGGGGGCGTGGAGCGACTCGCAGAGAGCGCGTCCGAGGGCGGTGGCGGCAGCAGCAGGAGCAGCAGTAGCAGCTGCACGCTCATCGTCACCACCGTCGTCACCTTCTTGTTCTTCGTCGTCGCCGTCGTCGGCATGATCTTCATCTGCAGGGGCGGCAGACGACGAGGTGCCGAGAGCTCCTCGCCCATGCTGCTGGCCGCTGTGACAGCGGCAGGAGGCAATGCGAGAAATGAGCGCTCGCTCTCTCTCCCTCCTCTCTCTCTCTCGGGCGCGCGCGACGGGATGGCGAGGGAGGACGGGTGGCTTCGGAGAGGTTCCCCTCCCTGCATTCACGGGCAACGCATTGCAGCGGGGCTTCCCTCGAGTGCAAAGGTAACCTGTCCACTCCCACACCCCTTCCCCCTCTCTACTACCCCCCCGCCGCCCTCCCAAAGAAACGCACACCAAGCGCACGTCCCTTCCCTCTGAGCCACGCAGTTCGTCAGCACGAGTTCATTTGGTGTTTGTCGGACGTGGTTACAGAACCGCAGTGCTCCGCTGCGGGCTTAATGCGTAAAACGCGTGTCCGACACGAGCCTGTGAGTCTAGCGAGAGAGGCTTGTCCCTTCTTTTTTTTTATTCAGAGCCCAATTCCTATCGTTGCTTTACCGGTGCAAACGATGCGAGAGAATGTCGTGAACATGAACTGCAAGCGACGCGCTGCTGCTGCTACCGCTTTATTTTGGCGTTGCTGTGATTAAGAGTCCACGCGAGATGCAGTCTTCGTGCATGACATTAGCGTGCGTGCTTCTCAGTGCGTGTGGTGTGCGGGCAGGCGTGCGTCGTAGCCGTCAAAGCCAAGCCCTCGTGCGCTGAGGCTGTAGGCAGCCGGAGCCGGGCGGAAAAAACTGTGCGACCCCCGACTGAGCCCGAGCGAGTAGCGAGCGAGCGGACTCTCAAATATGAGCCACGTCCCATTTCGCTGCGCGCTCCTCGCTTTATCCGACGCGCGTGACGTCAGCGCGAGCCTAAGCACTTGCCCCTGGTGCTGAGTGATGGTCCTAAGGGGGGGGGGTAGGCGTGCGGGAGGGGTGGTGGTAGTAAGGGTGGTAGGCGTTGCTGGTGGGGGGGGGTAGTGGATTTTATAGGGGTGGTTAGTGATTTGAGTCTTGGTGGGTGGTGATAGGGATAGGGAAGAGGCAGGGGTTAGTGGTCGTAGTAGGGGCTGAGAGGGTTCGTAGGTGGTTTTAGCGTTGATATTTTGGGTGATAGTAATGTTGGTGGTATGGGTGGTCTTATTGGCATTAAATGGGTGGTAGTCGTTTTGGTGCTAAGGGTGTTTGTGATAAACGCGTTGGTGGTAGGGATGCCGGTGTAATGCCGGTAGGTGTGGTAGGCGTGGAAGCGGTAGTAGTGTTATATGGTCGCCCTGGGCTCTCCAGACTGTAGGTGAATGATGCAGATATTCAGCCGGGTATATGTTTAGTCCGCACAGCGCTCACAATCGAATAGCTGCAAATTCAAACGGCAATCGAGGGGCATCATTATCATCCTCCAGGGTCGATAACAATAACTCCTCTTTGTGACAAGTCTAAAGTGGCCGTCCAATAGAGGAACTGATCCACGTGGTGGGAATGTTTACTTGCAAGTGTGTTGACGATTCGAAATGCCAGTATGAAATATGTTCGTTTTATTCGTATGTTAAAGTAAATGATTGCTTATCTGAGTACGTGGTCCTGATCCACTGGTGGAAATACCACATTATTATGGCGGGGTCATGTATTTCATACTATAACCATTAATGAATACACATATAACCAGTTTAACACGTAGGCTTTCCCGACCAATATCACCCATAAGGAACGAAACAGGCGGACTTCTCCACAAATTTGGCTGTCGCCTGATGAAGATAGTTGTAATTGCTGGCGAAACGTCGTACTCAGATTGTAAATGTTGTGGCTTGGCTCTCCAACACACCGGGTGTGCTGTACTAGTGACGAATTGGCCACGTTCTGTTTACGTGACAACCCTTACTAGTTGGCTGTGTTGGGTGGTGGCGGGTTCAACAAAACATTTAGATATTTACGTGATATAACCCCAAAAAAACCCTCTATTATGGATATATAACCAATACTACATGAAATAAAATAACAATTTATGAAAAGGAAAACATACAAATGTCCACAAACTGAAATAAAAGACTCTTAATTGAGATTGCATAACTCATATAGGCAGTACCTAAAAACGCCTCGTCGAAACAACGAATGTGATCAGGCCATTACCAGGTTAGAGTCGAGCACTGAATTGATACAAATATAATCAGTAGACAGTACCATGGAACCTTAATAACGCGTGATCCTCTCGGTGGGACGAATGCCAAAGGTAAACAGATCGGTTTACGAGTGCTTAAAATCTTCAGTTAGCACGAATATGTAGTTTTGCCAGGTCACCAATGCAATATAAGGTAGGGCCGTTTCTTCTATGTCTCATGAAGTTAGCCATAGGGTTGCCTTGTGTTCACGAGCAGTGTTGGTTTAAGCATTCAAACACTGGACCGGTTTCGTCTTCCTGGGGCTCATCGGCAGAGGTAGGCATGCTAAACCGATACTGCTTGTTTACCAGATGTTATTACCAAGTACCATCTCTCTACAGCACGTGGGCCATCAGCAGATAAAAAAGTACAAAATATTATTGAGCGCTGTAGTGGAGAATTTGGGATCTTAAAACAAAAAACTCTGTCACTCTTAGCCTTGGAAGGGGATTCCACATTCCTATGACAGGGGTAATTACATCCACAAAGTGGCAGTGAATTGATCGATAACGTGGGAATGAAAGACTTGAGTTAACTCTGGCAAAGATTTGAGCTCCCTCCCGAAATGTCAGTCGGATGCCCAGCCACTGCGACATCCAGTCAGATGCAGTGAATTATAAGAATCATTAATACATCTTTAATGTGATGAAGGCAGCCCATGGCAAACAGCGGGTATTAAACAAACCGGTCATAAATGCCAATCTTTAATTTAAAATATAAATCATGAGTGTTTATGCTTGTAATTATAGAGGGTAAAGTGCTTGCATAGTGTGTTCTTAATACACTGGCGCGTTTTAAACTCAACTTAATTTTTATATTTTTCCAGCTTAGACCCACAGAGATATATAGCTGTTTTCAGAAGCGACCTGGCCACAAATAATAGCTCAATGAAGTGGCTCTTCGCGTGGAAATGTATTTCAGCCAAATACTCAGAACTAATTCTAAATGTGGAGGGAAAAACCGGAGCACCCAGAGAAAGAGCCACGTGACCACGGGGAGAGAGACACGCAAACTCCAAATACACAGGAGTCAGGGTTGGGATCGAACCCAAGATATCCTGCATACCAGGCGAGGTAGTTAACATCTCGCCACTGTGGTGCCTGCGGAGGGCCCAGGACTGGTAGTCGGGTCGTCAGGTTTGTAGAGCAGTGCAAAACGGCTCCACTTGTCACACGCCACAAAGACAAAGATCCCCCGTATAGCCTTTAATTGACTGTTGGATCAAATGCTTAGGGTTGCCACCTTTGAATTGAACAAAACAAGGATCACGCACGAAGGTTTTGCACTTCAAAGTCATACTTCCTGGAAAATAGAATGTTTGGAACAATGGCATCGAATTACACAAGCAATTTATTAAAATCATCTGAAGAGTCGGAATAGTTCTTTGGTTCTTTCGGTAAAGTCACGTATAAAGATAAAATAATAAATTAAATAATAGCATACGACGTTTCGATTGCAACACAAGCAATCATCATCAGGTAACTTTCTGTACCTGTGTTACTCTCTCTATGTATCTTGGTGATATCTGTCTGCTTATATGTCTGTCTATAGTTTTCTGGTTAGATTTTTTGTTGCTATTTCATTTATACCTGATGATGATTGCTTGTGTTGCAATCGAAACGTCGTATGCTATTATTTATATTATTATTTTATCTTTATACGTGACTTTTACCGAAAGAACCAAAGAATAATTCCTGCAGTCACGAAAGCTCCAAAATTAAGATAGTCGGAATAGTGTTTATAAAAACCCACCTGAAGCAAGTACTGTCCATACTAACTGTGTATTTTTGTTCGTGCGAGTGCATCAGATATGTATGTCTGTTGAACTTCTTTCGCGCCGTACGTAGCAAACCGTGCTAACTCGAAGTGCTGGAGAAGGACAGCAAACTAAACACTAAAAATACGTTTTAAATAAATGAATTTTGTTGAGATACAGATGATGTCTATCAAAGGGTACGACATGAATATCATTCGGTCATTAAGTGGATAGGCCAATTGAGATAACGAAGTTCGAAACTCGACCAACAGGATAAATACATCTTTAGGGGGAAACAACAAAACGCTCTATATTCGTACTGTCCTTTATTTACACATTTTGTTTGGGCAGCGGATTAAAAACCAGTTTCTAGTTTTACTACCTTGTTCTGTTTATTGATGCACCAGGGCCCATCTACAATGTAGCAACACAAATCGTTCAGTTACCACTACATTCGTCTCTCCAATTATACATAGACAGTGCCACGTTTTTTCTTCTTGGTTCTTTCGGTAAAGTCACGTAGAAGGGAAATAATAAAATAATAAAAATAAAACATAATAAAATAATTATCACGACGTTTCGGCCACAACGCGGCTACTTGCGTTGTGGCCGAAACGTCGTGAGAATTATTTTATTATGTTTTATTTTTATTATTTTATTACTTCCCTTCTACGTGACTTTACCGAAAGAACCAAGAAGATGAATCCCTGCAGTCACGAAAGCTTTAAATCGAAAGTGCCCCTTTTTGTCCAAGCAACAGCAAAAAAATCTATTTTTACTGATAAAGGATCACTTTTCAATATATCTTCAGGCAATATTGATATTTTTGTATTTGTTTTTGTTGTTCCAGTACTCATGAACTACGGATCTCGACTATAAAATAGCAGGGCAACTGCCGAAACGGAGCCATCCGTGTGCCAAATTAAAGAAAATGAAACTTACTTTGGGAGTAAATAATTATCCTTATATTTTCATTACAATTTTGGTTGCACGAATAATGTGCAGTCAAAAGTCAAAGGAGCACCATTATCACCTTTACAAGCCGTTCATTTTCATATGAAAACTTTTTTGTTAAAGCACAGCGGTGGCGACTAAAATTAACATTCATCTGCATGAGAGGTGCTGTGGAGTAATTAATAATTCAATGTACTTGGCTTAAATGAGAAATGGGTACGCAATGTTCATGTCCATGGGTGGCTCTGAGCAGGTGGTAGATATTTCATATCCCGATGGATGGGACCAACCAATATTGACTTCCCACAAAGTGGTACTCATTTATCAATCCCTGTGAGATAGTGGACTTAGGCGACCATCCAATCAATTGTT